TTTTTTTTTTTTTTTTTTTTTTTTATCTGAAGTCAACTTGGAGGCTGAACCCATGAAATAAAAGACAGAACATAAATCAAACTGGCAGCACACTGAGTATCAGTACCCAAGTCCACTTTTTGCTGGGCAAGGTCAAATTACTGTGGGACCCAAACTTTTAAGTGAAAAGAAAAAAAAAGGGAGTTTTCAAAATGATGAGGTACTGCAATCTGTTTACATACTTTGCCTGTAAATTATCTAGTTAGCATATAAATTGTAGCAATACGGAATAGCTGAAGTAATTTCCGCTGTATACTCAAACATGACGCACCTGCATTGGGATAACAGATGATGAAAGCCGCCGTACATTTCCCAACTGTTTCAATGAAGGGCCGCATTTCTTTTGCTCCTAAAGCACAGTTTAATCCAATACTGAAAAATAAATATTTACATTTATTCCCTGTTTAAAGAAAAGACAGCTAAATAAAAAGCAAACAGTGGCAGTACTGGTACTTTCCCCAATTATCTGGCAGGTCTCTTCCCATCCGACAGGAAGACCATTAAACCATAACTGTATGGGTTAAGAGAAGGATGCTTTATCTGCAGAAGGAAGAATATTTCTAGCACAGGAAATGGACCTTGAGAGATTGCCTCCTGATCTTCTGATGCAAGGTAATCAACCAGAAAAACTCCAAAATCTTAGTTCTTAGCAAATAAAAGATTAGAAACTATTTATTCTAGCAGGTAATCAAATCCATAAGTTGCCACCCAATATCCACACTCTGGGCTGCAAGGGCCCTCACCGTTCAAGTCAACATATGGAAAAACAAGTCACAATAGGCTGCCTTCCCCATCCTCTTGGCTACAGCAGAGCCTGGCGATTCATGCCAAACCTGCATATCCAAATTCTTAGTATATCAGCGATACTGTGCTCCAGTTAAGTACTGCTCACTTTCCCAGGCTTGGTGATGTTCTGAAATGTCAGCTTGTCTAACATCACTTCCAACTATACAGCTGCTCCAATAAAGAGGGAAAAAAAAAAATCACCCAAAAATCCTTGCTTATAAGCATACTTCCTTGCCTATACGCATACTTCCTTTTTTTTTTTTTTGTATATATATACATACACATACAATTCCTTTTTTTCCTAAAAGCACAAGGAATGGTAAAGCAAGGCTTAGTGTGTAAGGCGAGTGGAAAAGTGACAGTCTACCTTGAGAACATTTGTACTTACTTCTGCTTTCCACACCATAGGTGTGAGAGAACAAATGGATAGGACATAGTGGAAAAAAAAACAAAAACAAAAACAAAAAAACAACAACAACAACAAAACCCAAAAAGCTTACAACAACAAAAATTATAAGGTTGAAAGAGCAAAGAACTGCCTGAAGCCACTAAGTTAGATATATTATATTTGCCAAAAAAACCCTGAAATTTCAAAGAAATTGAGTGCATCAATTAAGATATCTAGTGGCAATGTTAAGATAGCACAATCTAATTTACTCCGCCAAAGGGTACAAGCTACACCAGAAGGATGGGAGACAGGAAGAGCAATGGCATAGTACATTGTGCATATTTCCATTAAGCTACCAAGAGATAACAGTTTAGCCCTGAATGAAATGGGGTGGGGATGCCGATTTCTCAATGCAGTCATATACCAATGGGCACATTTGGGGACTGTGCAAGTAACGGCAGATCCCTACACTTGAATTCACCTAACTACAAACCCAGTATACAAACCCTGGGTTCCAAATAGCTGCTGGTGGTCATCATAGCAGAGGGCACCTCCCTACTGTATCAAAATACAAACCCAAAGTGTATGTACAGACATTTGGGGAGGTCATTGCAAGGTTAGATCAAGTTAAAAATGGCCACCCAATCTAAGTCAGGATAGGGGGGCTAGTGGGGAGGCTGGGAAGATTGGGGGGG